TCACGATTTTGAACTTTTTGCCATTAAACTACCTCATTTACTAATTTTCTTGTTTGCTAGTGGACATTTTAATCAGAAACTTAACTAAGCTGGCACTAAAGAAACAATAATACAATTTATCAAACTAAGAAACAAATAATAATACAAGTTCCCTTCAGATTTTTAAAACATTGAAATAATCTGCAGGCCTACAGCATTATGCTGGGACCTCCTAGGAGCATGTCGCTGCCGGTGGCTTCTGCCCCTCACCAAAATAATCTCTGGCATTGACAGGTCCTGAGGTCTTCTGATTGCTGCCAGGCCCTACACTCCAAAGCCCACCTTTTGCAGAGAGCAGGGTCTGCTGCCTGCAGCTGAGGGGCTTCAGGAGCATAAAACAAGGCACAGAAGAAACACTAGGGATCAGATACTGGCAGAGTTAGAGTTCCCTTTGGCTTAATTTAACACAGCTTGACGTCTTCTCACTCATGGTCCCAGTCTTTATGGATGTCAGGTCTTCTCTGGTAGGCCCAGATTCAGTCCAGGATCAGGTCCTGCCTGCATGACCTCCTGGATCCTAACCCAAGGCATTGTGGCTTCTTTTCCCTTCCCAGGTGACCCCAGCCTGGACCAGGTACCAACCCTATGATTTTTAGTCTAGAAACTAAACTGAACTAAACTAAACTGTGGTTTCCCTTCTGCTGGCCTTTCCTCACTGCATTTTTTTTTTTTTTTTAAGATTTTATTTGCCCTGGCTGGTGTGGCTCAGTGGATTGAGTGCAGGTCTGCGAACCAGAGGGTCGTGGTTCGATTCCCAGGCAGGGCATGTGTCTGGGTTGCAGGTCGGGTCTCTGGTGGCAAGGCATGTGAGAGGCAACCACACATTGATGTTTATTTCCCTCTCTTTCTCTCTCCTTTCCCCCTCTCTAAAACTAAATAAGTAAAATCTTTATTTAAAAAGTTGCAGATTTCTTTAAAACATCAATCCTGCATTTATTTGTTTTTTAAAGATTTTATTTATTTATTTTTAGAGAGAGGGGAAGGGAGGGAGAAAAAGAGGGAAAGAAGCATCAATTGACTGTCTCTAGTATGGTGTGTATTTCACATGTCCAGACGGAGGATTGAACCAACTCAGGCATATGACCCCACCAGGAATTGACCCAAGACCCCTCACTCCACTGGATGATGCTTATTCAACTGAGCGAGGACTTTCAACCAGCCAGGACTTTCTCTTACCGTTTTCAGAAGCCTCTAATAATGTCAGGCTTGGGAGGGACCTTACTGACCTCAGTCCACGCTCCATCTTGTATTGGAGTTCTCACCACACTATAACCAACCTGCGGTTTTCCAAGGCCTATTTGAGTATCACAAACAACAGGATGCTCACGACCTTACTAGATAGCTCAGCTCTTCTTAGGCTGACTCTAGGTTCTCATCAATCCTTTTCTGGAGGCTTTTGCCACTAACCAGTTCCCTGCTGTAATAAAAATAGCAATTGAAAAGTCATTTGCAGCCACAGATGAGTGAATTGTGGTTGAACAGGATTTCTCAAATGTCTACCCCACCACTCTCCAGGATTCCTAACAGTAGGGGGAAGAATTAATTGTCCCTTTGCCTTGATTTGGTTTAAAATTCCGTGTATACTTTGCATTTTCCTCTCATAGATCTGGGTTTAACTACAGGAAGAAGGTCAAGGAAGATGCTCTGGGAAGATGCATGTGGGTGACTCATATCCCTGAGAAGTTATGAGTATCCCAGTGTAAGAAATGGGAGCTTGGCCTTGGCCAGATAACTCAGTCGGTGAGAATGTTGTCCTCATACACCAAGGTTGTCAGTTAGATCTCCGGTCAGGGCATATACAAGAAGCAACCAAGGAATGCATAAATAAGTGGAACAACAAATCAATGTTTCGCTCTCTGTTTCTCCCTTCCTCTCTTGCTCTGTAAAATCAATACATTTAAAAAAAGGAAAGGAAAGAAAAGAAATAAACAGGAGCTTAAAGCAAAGAGGATTATTTACCAGTACTATTCTCCCACATTCCAAAGCAGGGGTTGGTAGGGCTGAGTAGGCACAGGTGGAAGTCTTCCTACGCTCTAAAGTAAGCTACATTTATGTACGTTTATGAGAAAGGGATGACGATCCCCATTTAACAGAAAAGGTGAAAGGAGGTTTAGGAAGAATGATTTCAGCAAAGTCACACAGTAAGTGTCAGAACCAGGATTTGAACATAGGTATCTCTGACTTGACGGCCTGCCCTTGAGTTTTTTTATTTATTGATTTTTCAAATTGAGCTATAATTCACAGATGTGCTCATGTTTTGCTAACTCACACCTCCACTGTTTCCACTTCCATTTGGGCCCAGCATGGGTTAACAACTCTAGCTTTGTTCTACCCCCCAAAAATTGTGTGAATTTAAGCAGGCCTCTCTGGGCCTTTGTTTGTTCACGTAAAATCAGAGATTAGGCTTATGGTTGCTAAGACCTTTGCATGTGGGAGAATTTGTGCATATAAAAAAATGTTGTTCAAAAAGGAAAAAAGACTCATGGACATGGACAACAGTGTGGTGATTGCCAAAGGGAGAGGGCTGTAAGGGGGATAAATGGTAATGGAAAAAATACAATAAAAAAACTTCTTAAACAAAGGCCTGTATGGAGTTAAACATTTTAAAAAAATTTTCAATCGTAGTTGACGTTCACTATTATATTAGTTTCAGGTGTACAACATAGTGGTTAGACATTTACATAACTTACAAAGTGATCACCGCAGTAGGTCTAGTACCCATCTGGCATCAAACAGAGTTGTTATAATATTATTGACTATATTCCCTATCCTGTACTTTACACCTCAGTAACTATTTTATAACTGCGAATCTGAACTTCCTAATCCCTTCACTTTTTTACTCAGCCCCTCAACCTCCACTTTCATCTGGCAACCACCCGTTCTCTGTGTCTATGAATTTGTTTATGTTTTATTTATTTGTTCTGTCCTTTAGATTCCACATATAAGTGAAATCATATAGTATTTGTGTTTCTCTCTCTGACTCATTTCACTTATCATAATACCCACTAAGTCCATCCATATTACTAATGGTAAGATTTCATTCTTGTTTTTGGTGGAGTAATATTCCATTGCATATACTCATGGACTACATCTTCCTTATTCAATCATCTATTGATAGACACTTAGGTTTCTTCCAAATTGTGGCTATTGTATATGAAATATCCTCCTTTGTCTCTTGTTTTAGAGTTTGTCTTAAAGTCTATTTTGTCTTACATACGTAATGTTACCTCAGCTTTTTTTTTTCATTTCCATTTGCATGAAATACCTTTTTCCATCCCTTTACTTTCAATTTGTGTGTGTCTTTCCATCTGAAGTGGGTCTCTTGCTGGCAGCATATGTATGGGCCTTGTTTTCTTATCCATTCCGCCACCTTATGTCTTTTGATTAGAGCATTTAATTTATCTACATTTAAAATAATTATTGAGGGGTAGGCAGAGACAAATGTATTTGAAAAAATAAATTAAAAAAATTGTACCTGAAAAAATAAAATAATTATTGATAGGTATGTACTTATTGCCATTTTATTATTCGTATTTTTATCTTTTTTCTTTTTCTTAAACACGTGCCTTTAACACTTCTTGCGTTACTGGTATGGTGGCGACGAACGTTTTCTCATCCGGGAGAGAATCTGTGCATCAACCCTCTACGTACCAGTCAACATTTATTAATGACATCTAGTTCTGGGGACTGGGGCGTTCAGGCCAACAAAGCACAGGTTCTGTTCTTGAGGAATGCCCCCACCTCGTGAAGGGGCTGGAAGAGGCAGCGGGACTGACACATGAATCAGTCTAGTTATGGCCCTCAGTGCCAAAGTTGATGATTGTGCTCTGAGTAGAACTGTAGGAGCAAAGAGCGTTGGGAAGGCTTCCCAGGACAGGTGATGCTTGAGCTGGGCCTTGAAGGTCGAGTTCAATGGATGGATGAAAAAAGCGCGTTCCAAGGCAGGGGAATCACATGTGCAAAGGCATGAAGTATGAAAATGGTGTGGGGTGCTTGGGAGAGACAAGAGTAGCTCAAAACATAGGCTGGGTGTGTGCGTGGGTGGGGGTACTTGTTTGTGTATTTGTAGCAGAATAGACTGAGGAGGTGGAGTTGATCTTGATTTTAAAGGGTCTGGAACACATGGTAAGTTAAACTTTATCTGAGGACGAGTGCTTTCCAAGCAGTTCCAAGGAGCAGCCCAGGGAAAGAGGCGCCTCAGGGGACTCCTAGGGGCTTCAGAGCGAGGCCCCACTTTCCTTCAAGCAAAACAGCTCCATTTTTGCCTGCTTTATCTATCAGGTTCTGCTTGATTGCATCTGACAAAAAGTTTCCACTGCTAAAGCAAGCAAATAAAAAAGTTACCACCAATAGGGCCACTAAAGGATTTTCTTCGGGGGAGAAGCAGAAGGAACCCTCTGAAGGAGACTTTGTGTGTGGGAGGGGTGCAGGGGGCAGAGCCCTGATGGCTGACTTTTGGGAGCAGGTGTCTTTTTATTCAGCTTCCTGGGCTGGCGAAGGGAATTGTATTGGGAGGTGGGGCGCACATACCTCTCAGGTAGGGGGAGATCAAAACTTCGGTCTCCCCCGCCAGGACGGTGGGGGGGAAGTGTATGATCTCTGGTAGGTAGTCCCCCAACATGGGGGATGGGCGGAGAGAGAGAGGTTGGGGGAGAGGCAGGAAGCGGGCAGCTAGACTAACAAAGGTGCCTGTGGCGGTTTGCCCATCCCAGGTGGGAAGGCGGGGCCTAATGTGACTCAATTTGTGGCTCGGAGGCTTAGAGGGAGCATCAGTTGGTGGTAGCTTGGGCCTCATTTCAGCTTTTCTATGGCTGGTGAATGGGGGCCTGGGGAGGAGAGCTGGCAATCCCAGGTACTTCTGGAAGTTCCCAGGGCTAGGGAAGGTCTGAGAACTTCCTATATCTGATGTCGGGCAAGTAGTTCATGGGGGAGCCCTTTAAATCCCCTCTCCATTCCCCTAGGGACCATGGGCTGTAGCTGCAGCTCAAACCCTGAAGATGATTGGATGGAAAACATCGATGTATGTGAGAACTGCCATTACCCCATAGTCCCACTGGATGGCAAGGCCACGGTAAGAGGCAAGACGGGGCTTGGCAAGGGAGCTGGGTGGAGTGCACAACTCAGAAGAACAAAATGGACCACCACTATAGGTCATTGAAATAACAGAGCCGCCCTCTCCCCTGCAACACAGAAAGGAAAAGGAAAAAACATGGAGGGAAAAAGACTCTCCTAAGATCACACAGCAAGTAGTTGGCAAATTCAGGGATAAGACCCAGCCAGACTGAAGAAATGAAGAGCTGGGGGGCGGTGAAGGGAGCCAGGGCCTGACCCAGCCTCCTGCTCTGATCTCATTCTCATCCCCCACCCCGCAGCTGCCAATGCGGAATGGCTCTGAGGTTCGGGATCCACTGGTCACCTATGAGGGCTCCAACCCCCCAGCTTCTCCACTGCAAGGTGACCTCAATCAGCAGATAAGGATCCTTGGCTGTCCGCCTCCCTCTCCTCCCCACCTACCCTCTACTCTTGTCCCCAGTCTTGTGCTCTGCCCTTTAACTCCTGAACTCTATTCTTCCAACCTGTTTCAAGCTGGTTCTCCCTGACCTCTTCTTGTCTTTACAGATAACCTGGTTATCGCCCTGCACAGCTATGAGCCCTCTCACGATGGAGACCTGGGGTTCGAGAAGGGTGAACAGCTCCGTATCCTGGAGCAGTGAGTGCCCTCTCTCTGCCCCCGATCCTTGCCCTGTAGTAATGAGGGAGCTGGGATCCCCAGTACCGCAGCCCTCCTGCAGGTCCTGACTAGTTTGCGCCCTTGAGACAAAATGGGAGGCTCGAAAGTGCTGAGCTGGAGGGTGGGGGGCCCTGTAATAACTGGGGCTCTCAGCGGGGCGGGGGTGGGGCGAGTCTGCAGCCGAGTCCAAGGCTGAGCAGGCCAGACTGACCACCTGCTGTTGCTCAGGAACGGTGAGTGGTGGAAGGCGCAGTCCCTGACCACCGGCCAGGAAGGTTTCATCCCTTTCAACTTCGTGGCCAAAGCGAACAGCCTGGAGCCCGAACCGTGAGTGGGGACTCGTCGTGGGATGGGTAGGAGCCGGCAGATCTAGGGACCCCGCAGCAGAGGAGGGATGCTAGGGGTGATGGTGAATGTTTAAGGCTGATGGAGAAAGCACGTTCCAACAGACGACGGCTTTCTCTTCTGCCTTGCGCAGCTGGTTCTTCAAGAACCTGAGCCGCAAGGATGCGGAACGACAGCTCCTGGCTCCGGGGAACACGCACGGCTCCTTCCTGATCCGGGAGAGCGAGAGCACCGCTGGTGAGTGGCTGGGCGGGACCGCGGTGGGCGGGCCGCGGGCTGGCGCCTGGGAGCCCAGGTGCGGGCCCGTGGGCCCGCGGGGAGGGGCGCGGTGGACGAGGCGCCTCTCGCAAGAAGACAGCCCCCCTCTTTTGCTTTCGTTTACCCATTCTTTTATTTAGGATCGTTTTCCCTGTCCGTCCGGGACTTCGATCAGAACCAGGGAGAGGTGGTGAAACATTACAAGATTCGTAACTTGGACAAAGGAGGCTTCTACATCTCCCCACGCATCACTTTTCCCGGCCTGCACGAGCTGGTCCACCATTACAGCAGTGAGCGCAGCAGTACCCCCTCAAACGTGGGCATGAGGCTCCTTCACCTGTGCCCTATCAGCCTGCCTCCCCTAAGTCCCTCTCAGAAATACCCTCTACCCATCACTAAGGATGCTCCTTCATGCCGTACTGGGTGAGATGCGGGTGACAGCCCACACCTCCCCTACCAGTCCATTTCCCCTAGATGAGACTTGGTGGAGACTGGGTAGGGGTACTCGAGTCCCGCCATATTCACCGCCCTACTCCCTCCCTTGTCCTTGCAGATAATTCAGACGGGCTATGCACACGGTTGAGCCGCCCCTGCCAGACCCAGAAGCCCCAGAAGCCATGGTGGGAGGACGAGTGGGAGGTTCCCAGGGAGACGCTGAAGCTGGTGGAGCGGCTGGGGGCTGGCCAGTTCGGGGAGGTGTGGATGGGTGAGTGAGGCCCTCCAGGGCTGTGGGGAAGGGGGAGGGGAGGCATCCGCTGAGGTCGTGAGAGTCCCGCGACAGTCTGGGTGCCGGGCTCCGAGTGACTTCCTCCAACCCCTCCCCACCCCAGGGTACTACAACGGGCACACGAAGGTGGCAGTGAAGAGCCTGAAGCAGGGCAGCATGTCCCCTGACGCCTTCCTGGCCGAGGCCAACCTCATGAAGCAGTTGCAACACCAGCGACTGGTCCGGCTCTACGCGGTGGTCACCCAGGAGCCCATCTACATCATCACGGAATACATGGAGAATGGTGTGCGCCGCTGCCGGGCGCGGCCGCTGGGGGGCGCTGCCGTCCCCCTCTGCTGCTGATCTAGAGGGTGGAGGAGAAATCTTTCTCTGGCTCAGCACTGAAAGTTGCTAGAGTTTTCTGGGCCCCCAAATATTTGCCTCAGAGCTTGAGAAGAGAGCATGTCCTCTGAGTCTGTCTGGGAGCCCAGCCTAAGGCGACAGGCTCTGAAAGAGGATTCAGTCCCGATCTTCCATGACCTTCAGTACCTTTGCCTTCTTGAAAGCTCCACCTTGATTGATCTAAGGATGCTTGTTCTCAAGAAATGAGGGGTTCCATAATCCTATTTCTTTCCCTCCTGCCCCTGAGCCGTTAGAGGCCAGATCTGCCCCAAAGCCCTTTTTCATTTCTGAGTGAGTCCCTTCCCCTCCCTATTGGACAAAGTATGAGCCCCAGGCAGGTAAATAGGAATTTTCAGGCCAAGTTTTGCCACTGATTTGCTGTATAACACAGGCCAAGTCCCTGTCCTGCATCTGATGCTCAGTTTCCCTACGTATAACAGCAGAAATCTAAACGTTTCACCCAGAAAGAATACAGAGGTTATTAAGGTCTCTAGAGTCTGAGGGGTTGGGTTAGAATTCTGGCTTCACAATTCCATGGCCTTGAGCTAATAACTCCACTGCTCTTTGCCATGGTTTCCTCATCTGTAAAATGGTGATTATAATGCAGTAGTAACTTTTTCATAGGTCTTTATGGAGATGAAAGAGTTAATGCATATAGAGCAGTTAGAACAGTACCTGTCACATATTAACTGCCCAGTGTGTTATCTTGGTCTGATTCTTTGGGAGTACAAGATCTCTCCCTCTTTCAGGGAGGGGAAAAAAGCTGAACATTGGCTGATGAATTGTGGAAATGGCAAATCGGTTTTATCACATGAGCCAATTTGAATTGGTAGTTGTCTGGAGTTTGGTGTTGAGAAGGATTCTGAGGTTCACTGGAAGTGAGTGCTAGGATCGATTAGTAACGTCTGCCCTGGACACAAGGGAGGAATGGCAGTATATGTCACATATTTGCTGTATCTGGGTGAGGCGTTAATCTATGGCGACTAATTCAACACTCATAGTGGGGACACTTAGGTTGCTGTCATCGTCACACAGTTTTAAACTCTAGAGAAGGGACAGCAGCCACTAGCCCAATCCAGTAACTCCCAGCCTCTCAGGCCCCCAGGCATCTCTTTCCATACCCTTTTTAATGCATTCAGCACACATTTATTGCTGTTTACTTTTGGCCGGGCACTGGGAACACAGATGGACAAAACAAGGTGCCTGCTAATCAGGGAAATCTCATTTTAGTTATGCACAGTTGGAAACCCAGTTTGTGCCACAGGAAAGTTCCAGCATGCCACAGGGAATGTAGATGATGATGTAATTTATTATGTCTGGTAGGATCTAGAAAGGCTTCCTAGAGGAATAGTCTAGCTGGGCCATGAAAAGAAAAGTAGAATTTTTATCAGAGAGAGATGGAATAAAGAGACCGGGTGAGAGCCCACTGGTCTATGTGAAAAATGTCAAAATTGTCTAGGGTAAGTGGAGTAAGAGTAACAGAAGTGGGGGAGAGTGGAGAAGAAAATACAAAGCGGACCATGCAGGGCTTTGGATGCCTGGCTGAGGAGTTTGGGCTCTACTCTATTGGTGACAAAAAGCTTACAGACCCCTTCAAGCATGCCCTATCCTAGTCCCTGGGAAAATACCTTCCCAGGCATCCTCACTCTGAACACATACATCTCCATTTTCAGCCCTTACTTTTCCTTTTCACATGTCAGACACTGCCTCTACAACCCACCCCCTATTAGGGGAGAAGTGTCCGGGGGTTCCCTCCTGGGGCAACTTGGGTCAGCAGCTCTTGCTTCTGCCCACAGGGAGCTTGGTGGATTTTCTGAAGACCTCTGCAGGCCTCAAGCTGACCATCAACAAACTCTTGGATATGGCAGCCCAAGTAAGGAGACTTGGGAGGGCTGAGCATGGGCACAGCTCAGGGGGTAAGGATGTCTAGCCCATGACTGCTGACCTACCTATACCTGGCCTGCAGATTGCAGAGGGCATGGCATTCATCGAAGAGCGCAATTATATTCACCGTGACCTGAGGGCCGCCAACATCCTAGTGTCTGACACCCTGAGCTGCAAGATCGCAGATTTTGGCCTGGCACGCCTCATTGAGGACAACGAGTACACAGCCAGAGAGGGTAGGTGTGGGATATAGGGAAGTCTGGGGCCCACAGGGTCTGACCAAGCAGACCCAGGTAACCTCTCTCTGCCTCTCCCCAGGGGCCAAGTTTCCAATTAAGTGGACAGCACCAGAAGCCATTAACTATGGGACCTTCACCATCAAGTCGGACGTGTGGTCTTTCGGGATCCTGCTGACGGAGATTGTCACCCATGGCCGCATCCCTTACCCAGGTCAGGGCCAAAGACAGGAACTGAATAGGGCGATGGAGAAGGACAGCAAAATCCATGCCTTTCCACTAACTTCTCAGATTCACAATCTGAAAACTTTCTAGCTGCTCCTCCATCATCTTCTCAGAGATGTGATTCCAATATTCCATCATCAACCATGTTGAGGTACCAGTGAGGTATCACATCAACCGTGGCTGGCTTTTGTCTCTGTCTCTGGACCTTTGTCTCTCCCTTCAATAATACAGCCCTTCTCTTTGGTTCTAACACTGGCAGCCTAGTATGGTAGAAGAGGATGTGACAAGAGGTCTCCTTTTATTACCAGATCTGCCACGATAGTAACTTTCTGTTTGATCAGGTCATTCCTTCTTTTCCTATCTGTAAAATGTAAGGTTAAAACTTTATCTGGCCCATATTAAGCACTCGAGAATGTTAGATTTTGTTATTAATTATCACTTAGGGCAAATGAGTTTAGGCAAGTGACATCACCTGTTTCTTGATATGAAAAACGAAACTATTTGTGAAACAGTTTGACTCATAATAGACATTCACTAAACACTGACTTCCTTTCCCTCTGCAGCTTTCTGACTAAAGAGTGAGAGAGACATGTAAACAACCAATTCCCATCCTCTCCCACCCCGCCCCTTTATCTCCTGAACAAAGTCCTTTACCCTTGCATTTAGCCAAGACAAGGATGGAATTTTTTGAAAAGAACTTGCTAGGAAACTGGGGAAAGGAAATGGAACACAAAGACAGGGCACGGAGGTCAGGGAGCACAGTGGCCGGATTTGTAGAAGCTTACCATATCCTGAGAGCAGTGTGCACAGAACTTTGCTCCTAGGAAAGTAAAGACACGTTAGAATCAGGTGAGAGCCTGAAGGACTTCCCTGCCCTGGACTTGCCCCGTCACAGAGGCCAGGGACAGTGCTGGGGCTAGAAGCCCACTCTGGTCATCCTGCCAAGGGCCCTCGCTGCTCCTCCAGTGTGCCCAGAGGGGCAAATCCATAGAGAATGTCTCTGTTAGAAGAAAAAAGGTATTGAAATCATAATGATACATGGCAACTGACATATGGCTGCATGGTCGGGAAGACAGTGGGGAGTACTGGGGTCCTGGGTGAACTCGCGTCTGCTCCAGCAGACGGCTACCATTAAGACATGTGAGCCCAAAAACCAGGTTTTGTTTTTTAAAGAGAAGCCAAAACTTTGGAATATTTTGCCCAGTTCCAAACATTGGCAATTGATTCAAATAGTTTAAAAACGCTACAGAGGCCAAACCAAAGTAGGTCTGTAGGCTATATTTAGGCTGGATTTAGCCTATGGATTCGCAGCCTTGGCTCTAGCCTTGGTGTTTAGTTCCACGGCCGGTGTCCTCCAATTTGCTGATTTTGAAATGTGAGGGACCTGTAGCTGGAGGCCTCCTAGGGGCAAGGCCTGGGGAAGACAGTGTCTTTTGAGCAGGGTCCAGCCCCAAGCTTTGCAGGAGCGAAACTTCTATTTTGCCAGGACCCTGTAAGGGTTTAATCTTTGGGAAGTGCCTGTCAGTCTTCTCTTAGAAGACTGTAGGAGAAATAAGAGGTCCAATGGGGAGTTTAGAAACAGGTAGCCGTTCCTTCTGCCATGATCGTGCAGTTCTCCAGATCAGGTCCTCTTGGAGTCCACATGCTAGGAGCCTGCCAGGTGGGCCAGGACCAGCACAAAGGGAGGGGACTGGCCCCAGAATTACTTTGTCTGGGTCACCGAGGGACCTGGTAGGCCTCTGCCCCGTGGAGGTTCTGCTTGGCTGGGGCCCAGAGTCCATCTGGCTCCCTAATGCAGCATCTCATGTGCATGGTCCCAAAGCGAGAGAAGCCTCACCACTGTCTTGGCTGTGGGCTCCCATCCTTCCCTGGCCCCTGACCACCGTGTCCTTCCCCACATCATAATAATAGTCACAAGTATTATTTATGCAGTTCCCTTTTGGGCACTAGGTACTTTATAGGCACCATCTCATTCAGTCCTCACAACAGCTCTGTGAGGTAGGAGCTACTATTTGTTCTGTTTTCCAAGTGAGAAAAATGAGGCTCAAAGAGGTGAGGTGATTCACCCAATCACTCACAGCCAACAGGTGTGTGTTGTTGAGTATCTAAGCCATAGCAGACACTCCAGGGAGCACAACTGACATTTGGCAGGTACTGGTAGCGATGTCTTACCATTGATGAAGACAGAGATCCTTTTGGATTGGTGCTCACGCCGTAACAGTTAAATATCCTGAACATTGCCTCTGTTGTGGGCTTCCAAAGCCTGGAGCCTTGATGTCCTTTCTCCCCCCGGTCACCCTCCAGGGATGACCAATCCTGAGGTGATTCAGAACCTGGAGCGAGGCTACCGCATGGTACGACCTGACAACTGTCCAGAGGAGCTGTACCACCTCATGATGCTGTGCTGGAAGGAGCGCCCAGAGGACCGGCCCACCTTTGACTACTTGCGCAGCGTGCTGGAGGACTTCTTCACGGCCACGGAGGGCCAGTACCAGCCCCAGCCCTGAGAGTCCTAGCTGGGACCTGGAGCCCTGCCCTCATCTAGCCAACATGGCTGGGGAGAAGCAGTTCTTGTGCCACAGCCATGTGGCCTATGCACATAGGGAGTCTGTATGTGAATCCTGCCCACGTGTGACACATACACTTCTCATGACCTATACACTGGTTCTTTATTTGTGTGGGCTCTGCACATGTGTCTTGTATATGTGCAGCCTGTGCATATGTCTTGGACACCTGTCTAAGCTATCTCTTTCTGGGCCCTCCCACTTCCTGAGACTACCTGAGAAAGGAGAGAGGCCTGTGATTGACACCAGCTTCTGCCCACCCACTTTTCCTTCCCCCTAGTCATCAAGAAGCTCCTTGAGTGGGGAAACCTTATCTAATACCTCTTTATGCTCCTCTTTAGTGCCTGGCACACATCAGGAGCTCAATAAATGTTTGTTTGTTGATGAAGGTTGTGCATCTCTCTGCTCCCCACTCCTATTTCTTCTTCCTTGGGAGGGGAGAGTGGGGGTTCAGAAGATGATAACCATGAATTGGGGTGAAAGATGGGATGAGGGGATGTCTGAACTTTTTCCAGCCCTGCTGATGCTGGGGACCAAGGGGAGGTCCCTATGCTTTTCTGTAGCTCTTTAAACCCCTTCCCCAAAGGATTCAAGGCAACTCCCTATCCTTCAGAAGCTCGTAGGGACTGAGTGTGTCCCAGGACCCTCCCCCCTCCCATTTTATAGGGGCAATAGCAAGTTTTACAGCCATTGATTCAAGGGCTATATTTGGCCTCAGATATGTTTTGATTCACCTTCAAGATGTTTTTAAATCTTGAGCTAATCCACTCATTTAATGAATATTTATTGAATATCTACTGTGCCAGGCACAGTTCTGAGATCATAGGATATGCAGTAGATAAAACAAAGCCTCTGCCCTTGTGGAGCTTACATTCTAGTACAGGAAGACAGAAAATAAACTTTATGAAGAAGTAAATGATAAAATATGCTACAAGGTGATGAGTGATAAGGAGAAAAAAGAGCAGGATAAGGGGATTTAGAAAGGTCATGTTTGGGGAGTTTGTTACTTTTAAAGAGGGCGGTCTGAGAAGGCCTCTGAGAAGATGACTGAGCAAAGATTTGAAGGAGGTGAGTGAGCGAGCCACTTGTGGAGGGGAGGAGCCCATTGCGCAGAAGGTACAGCCTGAGGCTTGCTGACTACTTTAGGCAGGGGATAGGTTCTGTGGCACTGTGTGGTCTGTGCAGGAGCCATTTTGAGAAGATTTTACAGGGATTTGTGCGGAGCCATGACATGACCTGACATATTTTAAAAGGATGGCTCTTACTGCTCTCTTCATAATAGACTGAGTTAGTAGTTAATTTATAAAACTGAGATTTTGCATAAAACTCCAGATTTCTGCCTCTCTTTAAAAAAAGGAAAGGAAGATTTGGTTCCCTTGGGCTTATCTGTCCTCATGGAGCGAAGTAGTGGCCAACCCCTTCAGGTGGGGCACAAGCCCTCCCTTTGCCAGAGTTCCCTCCACTCCCTGTTGCTCCCAAACAATGAAACTGTTAGTAGCTATTTGTCCTTATATCCACACTGTTGTTCTTCTAATAAAGAGAAAAACGAATTTTTTTGTCCTCATATTTCCATTAAAAAGTGAGAAAATTAAAGATATCTTAAGATGGCAACATATTTGAAGAAAGACGGGGTGGGGGGAGGCATTTCTTTTTAGGAAAGTGAAAAAATTCAATTTTTAAAATATGCAAATGAAACACTTAAATCAGATTCATATATTATATATTATATATATGAATATATATTTATATTGCCTGCCTGACCTCTGTTGGCATTTGAATTTGTAATTTCTGTTCTGCATTTTATAAAATGCTGCCATATCTATGGTCTCGTTTGGGCACTGTATGCAGCTATTGAGTTGTCAGCTCTGTATTCTTAGTCTCTCCATTTTATAAAGAGGGATATGGAGGCCAAGAAAGATTCCTAGGTAGGGAGCAATACAGAACTGATAATAGAATTATTCCTTGGTTCTTTGCTGTTTCTATAATAGATCTGTTACCTTTATTTATAATTAATGGCCCAAATGCAGTTCCCAGGTGAGGAACATAAGTGCCCAAGCAACCTTTAAATTGTAAAGAGGCATAAAAATGTATTTTATTCACTATAGGACCACCAGAGTAACTTATTTGGCACACAGTAAACACCCACTAAACATTAATATTGTTGTTATTTTATTTTTAATAGTACATCTCAGTGTTTTTCAATCTTTCAGCTTATGACCAGTTGATTGAGTGATCTAGTACAGAGGTTCTTGAGGATAGGGTCAGGGGCAGTTTATACTCCCTCCAATCCCTTCCCCCCTTGCCCTGAGACATTGCATGTCTTGAGACAATTTTGGTTGTCACAACAGGGAGGGAGTAGAGGCCAAGAATGCTGCTAAACATCCTATAGTGCATAGGACCACCCCTTACAATAAAGAATTATCCAGTCCAAAACGCCAACAGCTTTAACAGCGTGAGAAGCCCTGCACTAGTATAATGGGACAGTTTCCTTCTGTCCAAAGGCACTCCTTAGCCCTCTTGTGTGACTGCATTGGGGAGGTAGCCTTTGGAGTAAGAAAGACTGGGTTCTGCCACTTTGTTACAGTGTCTCTGGTGCATAGTAGGCATTCAAAATATGTGTACATTGAAAACTGAATTTAAGTCACAAAGGTCTTAACTTCATTGTTAATCTGTAAAATGGGGATAAAAAACCCTCCTCTAAAACTGTTGTGAGGGATTATCAGAATAACTGAGATAACCTTGGTAAAGTATTTGGGCGACTGCACTTTCATTTCCTTTGTCAGGTAATTTCTCCCTCCTCCAAACTTGAGTTCTAATCCAGGTTCAGCCTTTTCACCTGCTGAGTGACCTTGTGCAAGTCACTTTTCCTCCCCCATAGGCTTCGGTGGATTCTCTGTAATATTACAAAGTTGGCTTCCGATTTCCAAGCACAGTTCCACCACCTAAATGTGAAGTTTACAGACCAGGTTTCTTCCCCCAAGACTAATGGTACCGTCCTTAAACTGCTCCCCCACCCCCCTGTTGCGGGCCTTGGTACAGGCCCAGGGGGCCCCGGGCTGCCTCTTCGGGCTGCCCTTGCCCCCTGCCGAGTTCCGGGCCCGTCCCTGCGCAAGCTGATTGGCTGGAGCAGTGCCCGGGCTGCGCGGCTATAGGTGAGCTCGGGCGGGGGGCGGAGCGAACTAGAGACCCGCCCCCTCCCCCTGGGTCGGACGCAGAGCGGAGCCGCGGGCGGGAGGCCTGACGGACCGACGGACGGACGGGAGGGACGGGAGGCGAGCAAGATGGCGCAGACACAGGGCACTCGGAGGAAAGTCTGTTACTACTACGACGGTGAGCACCGTCCTCGCAGCGGGGGCGGGGCCTGGCTGGGCCGAATCCGGGAGCGGGAGGCTGAGGAGACCTGAGAGGGGAGGCTGGGAGAGGCTGAGGCGTTGGGGAAAGGCTGAGAAAGGAGGCTGGAGGGTAAAGGAGCTCGGGGCTGAGGGAGGAGGCTGAGAGGAATGAAGTCGGGCAGAGGAAGGAGGTCAAGACTGAGGGAAGAGGCTCAAGAGGAAAAGAGACCGAAGCTGAGGAAGGAAGCTGAGAAAAGGAGGTCGGGCCTGAGGTAGGAGGCTCAGAGGATTGGGAAGGAGGTCGAGACTGAGGGAAGAATCTGAGGCAGAGAGGGTCGCTCGGGGCAGCCTGAAGTAATCTTGGTCGGGAATTCTGAAGTCTGATGGGGAGAGTTTGAGTGGGTGGGATTCCTAGAGGGGAGGCTGAGTCTGAAGGGAAAGGCAGAATATGATGGAGAACGTTGCAAGGGTATATTTTCCTGCTGAGAATACCAGGGTCCTTCATTGCCCCTCTCCTCCGTCATCCTTTTTGGGAAGACCCCTTCAAGAGTCACCAACTAGTGGTCGCCCTGTCCCTCCCCCAGTCTCTGAGCGGGGCCTGCATTTGCTTCTGGGAAATGGGGCCCCTGGGCTTGGAAGGAAAAGGATTCAACATTTTCGTGTTACAAAAATCTATCCAGCAGCTTACTCTGAACTAGGTGCTATTTAGGTGCTGGGGCTGGGGCGATGATCAATTCATTTCACATCTTCAGCTCAGTTTGGAGGCAGGGATAGACAGTGGCCGTGCTCTCCAGCATCTTGCTGGGATAAAGGAACTCTCAGTGTTACGGGGCATCGAGAAGAGGCACCCAGGCCCACCTTACGAGTTAGGGAAGGAGGTACCCTCTCAGTTAGGACCTGAAGAACAGGAGTTATTAGCCTGGCACAGGGAAGGCAAAGCTCACAGCAAGTTTAGAGATGGGAGAGAGGACAGCACCTTTAGAAAACAGCAGGTATATTTGTATACAGTATGTCTGAGGCATAAATTGGAGGACAGAGTGTAGAAGGTAGGGAACAGGAGTAAGGAAAAGGTTGCAAGTGATGAGCCTAGAGAAGTAAATGGGGACCTGATCATGAGGGTCTGGGCATACTCTCCTAAGGAAGTTGTAGTTTATTCTGGGGGCACTTGTGAATCATTGAAGGTTTATATGCAGGTTAGTGACATCATCAAATGTATACCTTAGAACTATCACTCTGGGGCGGAAATTAAATTCATGAATGTTGGGGTAAGGAAGAAGGCAAGGAGCCCAAGCCCAAGTTTCTGATTTGGGCAGTTTGATGCTGAGTATTTGCAGGAGATCATGTCAGTTGATAACTTCTTTTTTTCTTTTGTTTGTTTGTTTTTTTGTTTAAGAGATACTTGCATACTCTTTGAGATATCTGGGGGATATCCAAGTAGAGGTGTCCAGGAGGCAGTTTGACATTCTGGTCTGCACTTTAGAAGACAGAAATGAAAAGAGAGATTTTTGGCAGGTGTCAGCATACAGATGGAAATTTTATCATAGATGAGGATACAATCAATCATCCAAGAAGTATAGGGTGAAAAGAGAGGGGAATCCAGGGTGGAATTCTAAGGACGTGGACTGAGGAAAAGTCTAGTGTTCTTCATGCTCTGTACTACCCTGTCGTAGCACTGTCACTGTGTGTTGGAATTGTCCATTTATTTGTTCATACTTTCTACAGAAAGTAAATGCCTAAGGGAGAGAGACCATGTCTTACCTACTTCTCTATGCTCAGTCACCAGAACAGTGCTAGCTCCTAGTAGGCTCTTAGTAAATATTTGTTGACTAAATGAATAAAGATACAGATGGAATGGCCAGAGATGTTAGTGAACCAGAAAGTGTTGGGTTCCAGTAGCCAAAAGAGGGAGGGAATGGCCAAGGGTTGGCAAGAACTGTTTCCTGTGCAGGTTTTGAAACTAAAGTGGGTGAAGGGAAGACATCAGCTTGAACTCATTTTAATGAAGCTTGTCCAGGGCAGAGAGGATTGTTGATAAAGAGAAGATATAGTGGTTGAGAGTTGAGCGTATTCAAATTCTTATGCAAAATAGCCAGAGAGAAGGAAAGGTAGAAGATACAGAAGAGAAGAACTAGTGATGATGGAGTTTCATGAGGAGACCAGGTGAGATGCACAGCAGAGCACAGCAGGGACTCTAGCCTTCAAGAGGAAGTTCCTTCTCAAAGAAAGGGTAAGTGGCAAGGAAAAGTACAAATGCAGGCAAGTTTGATGTGGAGAGTTGAGGGAGTTTTTAAGGTGAAGTAGGAGAATATTCCTTTTCCTGAGAGTGGGGGAGGGCAGTTGATACAGTAGGAATCTTGAAGAGAGATAGTTGTTAAATAGCTGTTGTAAAAATGGGAGCCAGGAAAATAAATTTGGAAGGATTGCTGGGCGGTGATGAGGGCACATTTGAGGCTGGATCGTATACATTTGCAGCCGTATCAGTTTGCACAGTTTAGTGATCTCCACACTCCTGGTTTAAAAAGAGAAAAATGAAGCCCTAGCCAGCGAGCTGAGTTGGTTGGAGTGTCATCCCAATGCGCCAAGGTTGTGGATTCGATCCCCAGTCAGGGCACATACAGAAATCAACCAGTGGTTTCATACCTGGGTGGAACAGCAAGTTACTATCTCTCTCCCTCTCTCTCCTTTCCTCCCTTTCTCTCAAAATCAATAAATAATTTTAAAAAAAGGGAAATTAGGAAAAAAGAGACTTCTTACATTTTTTAAGTTTTAATTTTTTTATCGATTTTTTTAGAGAAAGAAACAATGATGTATTCCACTTATTTATGCATTCATTGGTTGCTTCTATGTGCTCTGACCATAGATTGAACCCACAACCTTGGCGCATCAGGATGATAACTAAGCTACTGGGCCAGGGCAAGACTTCTTACTTTTTTTAAAGTATATTTTATTGATTATGCTTTTAGAGTTGTCTTATTTTTTCTCCCCCTCCACCCTGCAGCCCCCCTCCCTCCAGCATTCCCCCAGCATTCCCCCACTACTTCATGTCCATGGGTTGTACATGTAAGTTCTTTGGCTTCTTCATTTCCTATACTATTCTTAGCCTCCCTCTGTCTATTTTGTACCTACCAGTTAGGCTGCTTATTCCTTGTAACTTTTCCCCCATTGACTCCCCTCCCCTTCCCCGCTGATAACCCTCCCTGTGATCTCCATTTCTCTGATTCTATTCTTGTTCTTGTTTGCCTAGTTTTTTCTGTTTTTGTTTTTTTAGGTTCATTGTTGATAGTTGTAAGTTTGTTGTCATATTACTATTTATAGTTTCTTTTGTTAAACTTTTATTATTATTGTTTAGATTTTATTTATTTTATTTAGGGGAAGGGAAGGAGAAAGAGAGGGAGAGAAATGTAAGTGTGTGGTTGCCTCTCACACACCGCCAACCGAGGACCTGGCTCCGAACCCAGGCACATGCCCTGACTGAGAATTGAACCAGCAACCTTTCGGTTTGCAAGCTGGCGCTCAGTCCACTGAGCCACACCCGTCAGGGCCTATTGTTCGTAGTTTTGATCACCCTTATTTTCCCTTGATAAGTCTCTTTAACATTTCATGTACTAAGGGATAAGTGATGTTAAACTCCTTTGACTTGACCTTATCTGGGAAGCACTTTTTCTGCCCTTCCATTCTAAATGATAGGTTAGCTGGATAGAGTAATCTTGGATGTAGGTCCTTGCCTTCCATGACTTTGAATGCCTCTTTCCAGCCCCTTCTTGCCTGTAAGGTTTCTCTTGAGAAATCAACTGCTAGTCTTGTGGGAACTCCTTTGTAGGTAACTGCCTCCTTTTCTCTTGCTGCTTTTAAGATTCTCTCCTTATCTTTAATCTTGGGTGATGTAATTATGATGTGTCTTGGTGTGGTCTTCCTTGGGTCCAGCTTCTTTGGGACTCGCTGAGCTTCCTGGATTGCATGTCTGTTTCCTTTGCCAGATTGGGGAAGTTCTCCTTCATTATTTTTTCAAATAAGTTTTCAATTTCTTGCTCTTTCTCTTCTCTTCTGGCCCCCTATGATTTGGATGTTGGAACATTTAAAGTTGCCCCAGAGTTTCCTAAGCCTCTCCTCATTTTTTTGAATTCTTGTTTCTTCATTCTGTTCCAGCAGAATATTTATCTATTCCTTCTGCTCCAAATCATTGATTTGAGTCCCAGTTTCCTTCCCCTTTACTGTTGGTTCCCTGTATATTTTTCTTTATTTTACTTTATATAGCCTTCACTTCTTCCTTTATTTTGCGACCATGCTCAAATCTTTTCTGTGAGCATGATAATTACTAGTGTTTTGAACTCTGCATCTGATAGATTGGCTATCTCTTCATCACTTAGTTTTTTTTCTGGAATTTTTATCTGTTCTTTCATTTGGGCCATATTTCTTTGTCTTTGTGCACCTGTTATGTTGTAAGGGGTGGAGACTTAGGTATTGGCCAGGGCAGGACAACCCACTTCCCTGCGCTGGGGTGCTATATGTTGGGGAGGCTCAGAGAGGGAACAGTGCCGCTTGCTCTCCTGGCCTGCTTTCAGTCACTTCCCCAACTACATACAAACGAATTGGGCCTTTCTGGGCTGATTCCCGAGTAGGTGGGTTTGTGTACGTTCTAGGACCCTGTGGTCCCTCCAACAGACTCTCCTGTGAGACTGGTAGATTCTCCTGCTGTGGCAACCCCCACAGATTTTTACAACCAGAAGTTCCCGCGCAGGAACCCTGGGTTGCATGGTCTGTCTTGCTTCCCAGTTGTTCCTCCCTGTTTATCCGCAGGTGAATGTGGGACCACTCAGTCTGCCAGCCTCCACCTTGCCGTGTGTCCTCTCCACCCCAGCTGCCTGTCTCCATCCCTCCTACCAGTCTGGATGAGTGTTTCTTTTTTAACTCCTTGGTTGTCAGACTTCCATAGAGTTTGTTTTTGGGCAGTCTGGCTGTTTTTTGTTTTTAAATTAGTTACACTATTTTGTCCTTCATTTGGTTATGCAAGGAAGCAAAGCAAATCTACCTATGCCTCCATCTTTGCCAGAAGTCAGGACTTCTTGCTTTTTAAGAAACTGTGAGGGGAGGGACGAGGTGAGGACTGGTTGAAAGAAGGTGAAGGGATTAACCAAAGAACATCTGTGCAGGGCCCATGGACATGGCCATGGACAATGGTGTGGGGGTTGCTTAAGTGAGTGGGGGGAGCTGGATGGAGGTGAGCAAAGGGGGAACAGTTGGGACAACTGTAATAGCATAAATAATATTTAAAAAAGTAAAAGAAAAAAGGAGAAATAGTTTTGCAGTGAGGTCACTAACTTGGGACTCAGGTTTGGCTCTGCTGCTCAGATGCTTTGCAGTATTAGGCAAGTCACTTTACCTTTCCAGCCTCAGGTCACTCTCCTGTGACATTAAGAAACCATGAGAACAGTGGGGAGAGTGCTTTTAAAGTTTAAAAGTAGTATCTAAATAAAAAAGAATTACTTCATTCGGAGTCTCTTAGCAACCTAATTAAAAATTATTAAGAGGATGGTATCTCTGGGCCCTGCCCTCAGGTACTTCCTAGCCTTCTAGATAAGGTATCTTATAATTGTGGAATACCTACATGCTTTGTTTGATACATCTTCCATGGAGATGTCAATGAATATAATACTCCCATCTGTGAATATTTTAAATGTTGAAATAAAAAATAAGAAATGTGAAAAAAATAGATAAGGTATCTTAGTTCTTTAGGTCTAAGCCTTGGCTGGATCCAGGATTGATAGGGAAGGGAGTTGCAAGGGATCAAGGCCCATACCAGAGACATGGGTAAGCCAGAATCCAATTATTTATCAAGACACTGGCCATGTGACTACCGACTGCCAACAAATTGGATAAGCATTTCACACCTCAGCCAATGCCTTGAGAACCTGTTTGCCTTGGCTGATAAGGTTATTTGAGGGGCCCTGGGAACAACTTTTTTGCCTGCCTTCCTTGCTACTGTATCTCAAAGTCTGTGTTTGTATGGGAAAAGGGTCTCTGTTGAATGCCACTTACAGGCTGTACTCTGGCTTGTGGCTCTGGCTGAGAGCATAGTCCCTGCTCTCAGAGGTCTCACTAAGATTAGGAGAAGAGGATGGAAGGACATCAGATAAAAATTAAGGAAATCTGAATTAAGTATGGACTTTGAGTTAATGTATTGATACTGGTTCATTAGTTATAACAAAAACTTATTTTACTAGTGTAAAATGTTAATAGAAGGGGAAACTGGTTGTGGGTATATGAAAACTCTCTACTATCTATGTAGTTTTCTGTAAATCTGCAATTTTCTAAAGAATAAAGTTTATTTAAAGAGAAATAGAAAAGAGGATGAGCTCCTATACATCCAGGTGTTTAAAAGTTTCTCATCCCAGGCCATGTCTGTGTCAAAGAGAATTGGAGTGTGGCTTGGATGCTGTTGGTGGCATTCCCCACAGTGCATTGATCCCTGGAATTAAACCTGTTTCTTGCACTACCAAACCAGTGAATAGAAGGTTGGAACCTTTTTTTCACTGGTGTCAAAAAATCTACTTCATCCTGATGGAACCCTAAGGAGAGATCTTTGGGTGTGCAGTTCACTAGATTTTGGAATATTGTTACAGAAACTTTTTACCAAGTAGACTCACAGAGCTGTCTAGATTAAGTGCAAATTGAAGTAGGTACTAAGGAAACCCAGTGTAGCTTTTAGCACACTGGATTCAAAGTCAGAAGAGCTGATCCCCAGATCACTCATTGTCTGTGCCATCTTGATCAGGCACTTAACATCTCTGTGTCTCAGTTCAAGTCTTTGAATATTTGTTGAGCCTCTGTGATATACAGAGTATATTTGTCCTTGCCTTAAAGGAGCATGTGGTGTTGTGGATATAAATAGATAAGTCAAGAATTCAGACATGAAACAAAATGAATTAAGTGCTATACAAATTGCACAGAGAGGAAAAGACCATTTATTCTGATCAGGAATATGTTTGGAGCTTGGGCTAGGCTTTGTAGCAAGAGGATCATCAGAGACAGAAGGACTTCCCAGGTCAAAATGAACAGTCTGAACTAAGGATATTTGGTGAAGGCAATTGCCATGTTCAGGATGCTGATAATAATCTAGTGTGTTTAGAGCAGATACTGGCAAACTTTCTGTAAAGGGTCAGATAGTAAATATTTTAGGCTTTGCATGCCATATGGGTGGGTTTCTGTAGCAATTTAACTACTCAGCTGTGCTATTATAATGTGAAGTCAGCTGTAGATGATACATAAACTCGTGGGCATGGCTGTATGCCAATAAAATTTTATTTACAAAAAGACAGTCATTCAATTGCATTTGGCCCAAAGGCTGTAGTAGTTTAGTTTGTCTACTCCCAGTTAGAAGATAGAAAGGAAGGGAGAGGGAGAGAGTTGTGGAGGAGGATGGTGGTTAAACTGGAATGGTAGATTAAGAAAGTCCTTGAATGCCACATTACTGAAGTGGTTTTTTGGTGTTTTGTTTTGTTTTGTTTTAAGATTTTATTTATTTATTTTTAGAGAGAGGAGAAGGGAGGGAGAAAGACAGAGAGAAACATTGATGTGTGAGAGATACAGTGCCTCTCACACACCCCAAACTGGGGACCTGGTCTGCAACCCAGGCATGTGCCCTGACTGGGAATCGAACCAGTGACCTTTTCATTCACAGGCTGGCGCTCAGTCAACTGAGCCACCCCAGCGAAGGCTGAGGTTGTTCTTTAATCTTCATCCTGTAGGGTATAGGAAGCCATTAAGGATTTTTGAGGGAGGGGGAGTGATGTTATCAGAGTTGTTTATGAGGGGAATAAGTTGTGACAGTAAAGCAGGTAGTTTGAATTGAAGGCAGAGGGACCAATTAGGGGGCTATTGCTATAGATGAAGCAAGAGATGATAAAAGTTTAGTTTTCTATAAAATGGGAATAAAACTCCCTGTCCTAACTATTTTACAGGGCTGTTGTGAGGATCCAATAAGAAAATGAATGTGAATGTGCTTTGACGCATAAAGTATCACAATGTGCAAGAGGTGAACTGTGGGTTATAATAATTTGGAGTATTGATGGTTATTTTTCTGTTGCGGGACTGGATTCCGTGGAGATACAGTGTCACTTCACTGGCCGCTGTTCCCAAGTAGCTTTGGAATGAACCCATCACATTCTCTAGTAGTGCCTTTGGGTCCCAGGGGAGGAAACTGGGCTAGACTGACATTCATCTGACCTCTCCAGGATTCCCTGCTTTTTTTTTCTTTTGGAGTTATCTTTCCTCAAGGTAGGTGAGAATTTTAGAGATTAGAGTGAACCAGAAAGAGGACTTTTTTTGTTTTTTGTTTTTTGTTTTTGTTATTTTTGATTTTAGAAATAGGAGAAGGGAGGGAGAAAGAGAGGGTGAGAGACACTGATGTGAGAGAAAAACATCAATTGGTAGTCTTCTGTACATGCCCCAAGGGACTGAACCTACAACCCAAACATGTGCCCTAACTGGAATTGAACCTGCCACCTTTCGGTTCACAGGACAATGCCTAACCAACTGAGTCACACTGGCCAGAGCCAGAAAACGTTTGCTTAGGAGTTTATTGGAAAAATTCCTGGGTTTTCCTGGGAGTGTGTGTCTAACTGTCACTGAAACTCACTCTTTCTTCTTCAGGGGATGTTGGAAATTACTATTATGGACAAGGCCACCCAATGAAGCCTCACCGAATCCGCATGACTCACAACTTGCTACTTAACTATGGTCTCTACCGAAAAATGGAAATCTATGTGAGTTACTGGGAGCTCCACCCCTCCCTAATCTCATCAGCTCTGGTTTCCCTTAGGTCATTTATTATCTTATTAATTTATTATCTTAAATACTCATTCATCAAACATGTGTTGAGTGGCAGACCCCACTGTGTAAATGATAGAAATTCTGTTTTTAAAGAATTCATTTTACTGCTAGAGACTGACATGTACACAGATAATTTACGGTGTGTAAGTTCTATAATTAAAAAAATGTACAAGATGTAGAGATAAGGAGGAATGAAGGAGGAAGGGAGCCTTGGGATGTTTCCCAGAGGTGATGTGAGGAGTTTCAAAGATTGAATGGAATTTAGCCCAGAGTTCAGGAGGGGACTGCTATTCTGGGCTAAGGGAAGAACATATACAAAAAGACAGCGGTAAGAACAAGATGGTGTGTTTGGGGAAAATATAAGTAGTTCATTGTGCAGGTATTGCTATAGTGTAAATTTTACAGGTCTAAGTGAGGGCAGCTAGAGCTGGAGAGGTCAGCAAAAATTGGATGTGCTGTCCTGAGGAGCTCTAGTGGGCCAGGGTCAAAAAATGTATGATTGGGACCTTGGCTGGTGTGGCTCAGTGGACTGAGTGCTAGCCTGTGAACTGACAGGTCTCCTCGGGTTCGATTTTCAGTCAGGGCACATGCCTGGGTTGTGGGCCAGGTTTCCAGTTGGGGGTATGTGAGAGACGACCTATCAATGCTTCTCTCACACATCAGTGTTTCTCTCCCTCCCACTCTCTCTGAAAATAAATACATAAAATCTTAAACAAAAACACCGCTTTATTAAGATTTTTAAAAAGTCTGAATGGGAAGAAAAAGAACAAAAACATGTGATTGGGATTGTTGAACTAGTACCAAGTCTCCATGTACTAGAGAGTATAGACTGACTAACCTCTTGACTCAGCTTTTAGTGATGTTTGCTCCATCTTCCAGTTTTTAAACAGAGGCTAGAAATGCAGATATTATGTAAAATCCCCCAACAAAAATCTCCAGCAAAGACTTGTTGGCCCAAGTGGATTTTTTAAAGATTTTATTTATTCATTTCTTTTATTTCTAAGATTTCATTCATTTATTTTTAGAGAGAGGGGAAGGGAGGGAGAGAAACATTGATGCATGAGAGAAACATCAAAGTTGCCTCTGACATACCCTCAACCGTGGACCTGGCTCTCCACCCAGGCATGTGCCCTGACTGGGAATCAAACTGGCGACCTTTCAGTTTGCAGGTCAGCGCTCAAACCACTGAGCCCCACCACCCAAGGCATTTCTTTTTTAAACCTGTACGAATAAAAACATAGTAGTACATCTGTGAACCAAATTTGGTCCAAAGGTTCCTAGTGTGAACCTCTTCTGGAGGCAGTAAATAATAAATGAAGGATTTTACATGAAAGACAGATAGGAACAGGCATGCATTTTAGAAGCATGGAGTCCATTTAGGAGGCTGTTGCAAAGGTCCAAATGAGAAAAATAAAGAGGATCTGGGGGCCCATGTTGCCTTATGGTAAGAGCATAAGAGTCTGTTGTTAAAGTGTGCCAGCAGCTTAAGTAACCTAGCAACAGCAGTATCTTTCCTCACCATTCCAGAGAATGAAAGGGGATGAGTCTTCCTTCCCAGATGGCCATGTCATGTCTCTAAGAGACCATAGAGGCAGCTGGGAAAGCCAGAGAGAAGGTAGACAGGAACAGATAGACCTTGGGACCAAAGGTTTTTCAGGTATAAAAGGCAGCTGGGAATGAAAAACATAAAAGGTAGCAAGGTTTTCAGGGACTCTAGAGAGCAGACTAGAATTTAGATAAAGAGAATACCTGAATGTGGAATAGTAAGTGCCAAGACTTTCCAGAGCTGTCTGTTGTACATCTACACCGTGCTAGTCTGTCCCCAATTTGCCTTCTTTACTGCTTCTTCCCCTTTAGCTCTCCAAGTCAATCAGATCAGGTTCTGCCTCTTTCCACCCTGTCCTGACTGGGGGAATTATTTATTGTGCCCAATCATATCTTACTCATCTTCAAGAGTCACCTCATGCCCTCTTTCAGCATATTTTTGTTGAGTACTGTCATGTCTTAGGGACTGTATTAACCTCTGTGAGAGATACTGAGAAATGTAAAAATGGATTCTATCTTCAAGTGAGAGGAAAAGTTAATAAATATTTATTGATGCTTGCTAGGTGCCTAGCCAGAGCCACCTATTATTTTATGTAATTCTTATAACAACCCTAACTTACAGATCAGGAAGCAAGCTCAGAGAGGATAATTAACATGCCCAAAGTCACATAGCTATTAATAGATGAGCTAAGACTCCAGTGTATATCTCTCTGATTCCAGTGTCTGTATCTGTCCATTTGTCCTTTTTTTCCTTCCTAAACAATCTTTTAACAAGGAGTCTAGAGGTAGATGGTCTCAGGATTTCTTTCTTTGTTTATCAGGGACCCAGGCTTATTCTACCCTTTTGCTCAGACATCCTTAGCTTATGTGATTTCATCCCTTCTTCTTTTGCCTTGGAAGTCCCATGATTGCTGTCTCCAAGTACCATGTCTTCATATAACAAAATCCAAAGAGGAAGGGGATAAGAGTAAATGGATCGCTGTCCACTGTCCCAATCTTATACTCCTGCTTTGATTAAAGAGATTAAAGAGGAAAACTTTCCAGAAACTTCCAACAAATTTCCCCTTTACATCTCCATTGGTTATTGCCATCCTTAGCCCATTCACCAGCAATTGGCTTAGACTAATCACATTTGATCCCTGGGGTTGGGTACATTAACACCTAAGCAAATTGGGATAAGCTACCAAAAAAGGAGAGAATGACTTTTTGGGAAGCAACCAACAGTGGCTCTCATAGAAAATAATAATATCTTATTGGAAATAATGTCATATGTGTGGTTTTCTTTTTGTAAACTTCTAAAGCAAAACCTCAGTATTGCCTCTCCTTCTGAAATCTCTAGACCTTGTTATCTTCAATGTGATCTTTTTCTCTGGCCCTACCTTTCCTCTGAGTATGAATCTTTGGTCGTATACCCCTAACATTGTTTATCTGCATTTATCTCTCTATCTTCTACTTTCTCTGGATTATGATCCTAGCATTCCTTTTCCAAAGCACAGGTAGACATTTTAGTACATATCCTGAAATTGATATCTTTTGAGAGTCAGCCCTGAAAGATACTCCTTAGACTTCTCATGGATGTTGCTGTATTATTTCTGTCTCTATACCTGAAAGAGACATGTTGAGGTCATTTTCAATTTCATTCTTTTTGGTCCCTTTCCCAATTCTGTCTCCATACATTTTAATTAATCTCTCCTTGAATCTACATCCCCACTTTTCATCCAGGCACCTTTCTATTTATATAATTAAAAATCTTGCTCTCTTCCTTGCCTCAGATGCTAATTTTGTATATTCCCAGGCTTCTTATTCATTGCCTTCTGTTCTTTTTTTTTTTTCTAAGATTTTATTTATTTATTTTTAGAGAGACGAGAAGGAAGGGAGAGAGGGAGAGAAACATCTATGTGCGAGATATACATTGATTGGTTGCCTCTTACACGTCCCCAACCGGGGACCTGTCCTGGTAACCCAGGCATGTGCCCTGACTGGGGATGAAATTAGCAACCCTTGGTTTCGCAGGCTGGCCCTCAGAACCACTGAGCCACACCAACTAGGGCTTTTTTTTTTTATTCTTTTTTTAAAAATGTTTTTATAAAATTTGTAGATACGAAAGAATTTTCATAAAATATGTGTAAAGCATTAAAAAAAGAAAAGAAAATATATATAAAGTATAATGACTCACATTGCAATTAATACCACCTAGTTGAAGAAAAGGGACATTTTCATGACTGCTAAAGCCAATGTATGCCCTTCTCTGACCCTATCTCCTTCCAGAGTTAACCTCTGCCCTCAATTTGGGGGGATTATTACTTCCTTGTTTTTCTGTATAGTTTTACCAGTATGTGTTCGTAAACAGTACATGTTTTAGTGTTACAGAAATGGAGCCATACAGTACTTATTATGTGACTTGCCTTTCTTGCTCAACATGTTCCTGATAGTCATATATGTTGATGCATGTAGCTGTATTTCATTGAAAGAGTATACTACAACTTTCTGTTTTATTATTGGTGGGCATTTGGTTGGTTTCTAGTTTTGTGCTAATATTAGCACTGCTGCTGTGAACATTCTTAAACATGTGTACATAGTTGGAGTTTCACTATGGGATTTACTAGGGGTAGAATTGCTGGATCAGGACATGTACACATAGTTACACTTACTAGATAATGGCAGCGTGGTTCCAGTTGCCAGCAATGTAGAAGAATTGCATTGTTCTAATTTCTTGACTTCATTTTGTTGTGTGTGTGTGTTTATTTATTTATTTGCCATTGTAAGTAGGTATGAAATTATGTCTTATTATTCTTTTAATTTGTATTTCCTTGGTTACTAGTGAGGCTGAGGATCTTTTTGTATGTTTATTGACCATTCAGGTTTTCCTATTGAAGTTCCTCTTCAAGCTTTTTGCCCACTTTTCCATTTGATTGTCTGAGTTTTATTTTTGTTTTAACTGGACCTCAGATACACAGAATAGGCTTAATCATTATCCTTGGCTCATAAGCATCAAAAGAAGGTCCGTGTTCTGCAGGCTTTTTTAAAAATTGATTTTATTTTCTACTTGTTAATTTATTTACTTAATATTTTAATAATGCAAGGAACATCTTGAATCCTACAGCCCAAGCACTATTCTAAATTTTGTGTTTATTTTCTTGCTCTTAAAAAAAAAAAAAAGGTTATCATATGCAGATGTGCCTAAACAACATGTAGTATTTATTTATTTGTTTTGAAATTTTTAAAAAATTTTCATTGATTTTAGAGGGAAAGAGAAAGAAATATCAATTTGTTGTTCCACTTATTTATGCATTCATTGGGTTGTTTTTTTTTTTAAGATTTTATTTTAGTTTTAAGAGAGGAGAAAGAGAGGGAGAAAAAGAGGAAGGCAAACATCAGTGTGAGAGAA